TATAAGAAGATGCAAGATTATATATTAAAGTCGAAGTAAACAGTCAGAAGTGAGTTCTAATTTCAAGTACATCAATTCTGTAACTGAATCTAATACGAGAACCGTAAATGAGATACGAATTGACTAACAAATAGACTCAATAAAGTTATTCTGCCCTCCAAAATAAACAATCATGGTATTGATGTAGGGACATAATCACAAAGTGACACCCACCTTTTCGCTACTTCCCATCTTGTCCATCCAAGTACCGCAATTCCATCTGTTACCACCATGAATAAAGCCTGTATTGCGATCAACAAATACCTTGACGTTGAAACCTGCAACCAACTGATGCCATCTCTCCACACTTTAAGCTATTGGCAATTTCGGAGTGATGTGCAAAAATAATAAAATCAGCATTTCAAATATTAATATTGAAGAAGAAGAGGAGATTCTCTCATTGAAAACTAGACATAAATATGCAATTTCTATTTTTCCTCAATAACTCCCTCACCTTCGTCTTTCATATGCTCATCAATCTGAGGTCCAGCATATCGTTCTCTGAAATCAATTCCAGCGAAATGTCGATTCAACGCTTCATACATCACGTCGATCAGGTGCTGCATCTGAAATATATTGCTTTAAAAATGCCATGCCAAAAACCCACCTTACCTGCACGTCATTTCCATATACGCTGTCGTCATGTGGATAGATACGTCTAACAGGGCATTTGAGAATCTCATGACCATTTGGTGCTAGTCGGACATAGCGCTCAATCGAATACAACCAGAACCAGACAGCGTCACGACAGTTATAACGGGAAGCTGCAAAGTTTGAGCATGATTAAGATAAGCAGAATTCACCAAAAAAAAAAGAGGATAGATCAGCAAAAAGTTTTCAAAGGTCGTATGCATTACAAAAATGTCAAGGGAAAACTTGCCTGTACCAACTATACCAATTCGCTATGGTCAACCTTTTCCACTTTAAAATACCTTTGACTTACCTTTTCCCTCAGCGAGAAGATTTGGTATAAGTCCATGACGAAGACATCCAGCATAGGAAAGGATGATGTTCCTAAAGGTACAGACTTTAGAAATATTGTTGTGTTGGGGGAAAAAGTGATGCGACCAGCGCATTTTAGGTTAAGAATTACTGACTTAGCATCGTAAAATCTTCCAGTGCGTAGAAGACACCCAGGAAGAGCTATGAACGTGTCACGACCCCAGTTGCGCCAGATACCAACAGCAAAGTGTGGGAGTCCTATAATAGAAGTGATCCGTTCAAATTCACCCAACATCTTTGAATTTGTTTCACCTGCTGCAAGTGAGGAAGGGTGTTTATCTTCCAATCTGATAGAATTTGGAAGAGGAGCCAGAGCTGCAGAAGGAACATGCCCAACGAACGAGACGGAGGATACAGAGAGAGCTCGAACTAGCGACGATAATGAGGTCAGATTCCTGAAATTACCACAGATTTGATGATTCATAGATCAGTCTGAGTATGAACCTACGCAGATAACTTCCTCATCAAGGCCTTTCTACATTGCTTGTACAGATAAGTGATCAATGC